GGGGGGAGAGAGGGAAAGCGAGGGAGAGGGAGGAGAGGGGGAGGTCTTAACACGTGAGCCCCGCCTCGCAGAATTCCGACTAGTCGATCGAAATTGCATGAGGAGACAAACCATCTTGAGTGAAGTGCACAGCCTGTATAACCCCTGCCCCCCTTTCTCGCCACAAAGAAATCAGTAAGATATCTGTCATTTGAACAATATCGTCAATGCGGTAGTCCGTGTTGATCTTCTGCATTATTAAACATCTTCATTCCTATTTGGTGTATTCTATCTTCTATGAAAGCTTTAATTCTGTTGTGCAGCAGTTTTGCACATCACATCGACAATCCCTCTAAAATTACCTTCAAAAAAGGGGCCAAAAATAGACTCCCCTCCTGTGCCTTTTCCTCCCTCTATATCTAGAATACAAAACAAAATTGTTATCTTTCCTAACTACTCCGAAAGAATATGATTTTCAACTAAGTGGCAAAGTAATCTGAATGTTTTCAGAACTTCTGCCGATAGTTGCACTATATTTTTAAAATGGCCAACAGAATTTTCAGGGAGCTGCAAACTCTATTAGTGTTTTAAACATATCAGCCAGTGCTGTCTAATTGGATGGTGTACTGCAATAACCTACAATGTGCTAGAAATTCAGACAAACACAAAAAGCCAAAAAGAGGCAAAACTGGAGATAGCTTAAGGATCTAATAGGGTGCATGTAAGTTTGCCTGAGTTTTATAATGTAAAGAATCATTGTTCCCGACTGCTTGTTAAAGAAAAAGAGTATTCAACAATCACTGAAAGCTACAGATGTCTTACAGCCAACGTTAATGCAAGCTGACAAGCCAGTTTCACATTGTTCTGACAATGGCTTTTCTTAAGGCTGTCAACGCATCACTGTTCACAATGTTTAATCTGAAGTTCCCTCCTGGTTCAGCCATTAAGGACCTTACGAAACCACGACGGCGACGGCAACGATGACGTGGAAAAACAAGAGATCTAATAGGCAGAAGGATAGCTCAGCACGTGCGTTTTGAAACTTTGTACATTTCTTAGCCGTCCTATGCAAAACATCAATGTGAAATCGCCAAAATTTACGTCGTCTGCGAACCGATACCGCGACGGCAAATTATTTTAATTTCCATTTGGAACTCAAGGGCTACTTTATACGTCATGCTGAAGTTGAGCTGTGGCGCTGTATGAGACAGTGAGCTCCTGCAGCCATTTTTGAAATTTTAACTAAGAGTAGAAATTCATTTTTTAATCGAAGTCTTCCTTGGTGTCGCCGTCGTGGTTTCTTAAGTTCCCTAATCACTCTACAGGGCTACAGCACCAAATAAATTTCCATGAAACCTTAAGAGTTCACAGTTCATGAAAATAAACATAATAATATGAAATACTGCGATATACTAAAGAGCCTTTCATTCTAATACTGCTATCACTGTCATAATATGCAGTCTATTGCAAACTTTTGTTTTACCTCCACCTTGTATCCAGCCATTAGGAACTATTCTGTGTAATATTGAATTCTTGTACCACAGCTTCAAAGGGGGATCATGCCGCACTGATTCACTCTGACTTCCTACACACAACTCACGAAAATTTCTACATGTCTTTGGTAGTCTTTCAGAGAACAGCTGTTGAAGAGGAACTGCATATTAGAATGAAGGGCTCATAATAAGAGTTTGTTCTGCTTATCCCTGCATAAACTGTCGGTACTTTAGTGAACTCTGTCATAAAAGTATTTCCCATTTAGTACCCCACTTTTTCCTAATGATAATAATAATTTAATTTTTATATTGCACGCTTTCCGTGAAATGATCAAGCGCGCATTACATCTCAATAATGGTTATTAAAAATATACTATGATAAAATCAAATCCTACTGATAGACATGAGCTAAAACTGGCTGGGAGACATGTTTTAAATTCTCAAATTAAGTAATAGGAGTGTGTGTTTTAGCTCTGTCTCATTTCCTGATATCTTCACTGTTTGAGCTTAAAAGCTGTCAATATCTCGACCTTGAATGTAAACACTAGAAACAGATCTCTTCTTTTCGGGACTAATTATTGATAATTACCAGGACTTTTGTGAAACAAGGTCCAGGTTATACATATAAAAATGAAACCATCTTCTTTGTATGAGCAGCAGGTATACTTCCTTGCTAAGCAAGTAACTCCCTTGCTCACTTACCTGTCAGGCAAAACATATCAGACAAGCAACAAAAATAGAAATCTGGATGGAATTTTTTTTCCTATCTTGCACATGTGAACATACCTCAATCAATAGTCGTCCAATCTTTTCATGGCCCACTGCTATGTCCAAGTAAACAAACTGATGCTGAAATAACAAAGTTAATGCAAATTTTCATGTCATTGAGAAATTGAAGTTTTGAGTGATCAAAGCCTTTGGTAAATTTGCACACATTAAACTTTACCTTGGTGGAAAGAAGATGGTCGTTATATGCTTCTTTAGCCATGGCATGCCATAAAGGAAGAGGCCTAGCAAAAAAAATAGGAAAATACAAATCAAACTGTGTGTTTCATACCACAAAACATGGTAACATACTTGTAGTTGGAAAGATGCTAAAAACAGAATGATGATTTTGAAAAATATCTTTCTTACAGTACTTTAGCCAAATGTAAAATAACAAACATTTAGCCTTAAAAACGAAAGGAAAAGAAATATGTGCTCTTTGAATTCCAGGTCCAGTTAAAAGGAAATTTCAAGCAACTTTCCCAGTATTTTTAGCTAGAAAACTGCTGTGGGATTGATACAGAAGAACATTGTGTTCCATCATTGGTTAAGCCAGAATCTCAGTGAACTTAATGGCTACAGCAGAATAAAAGGTTTATCTTAGATTAAGGACAGTATAAACTCAAGGGGTAGCAATGCCTTTCAAAACAACAAACCTGAAATCTCTGTATCCATGGGTATCCAAGGCCCACTTTCTAAAATCCTCATGTCCTCCAATCAACTCTTCATCCAAAAACACAATGACATTTTCTTGAAAGCCCCATACTTCTTTTCTCATTTCCTAGCAGGTGAGAAAGCAACTTACATTTATCTTTCATTCGTATCGCTGAAATTATAACATAACTAAAGTAAAGCGCGTGCTCTAATTGGTCAATTTAGTGTCCCCTATTTGCCCATGGGTGTACGCTGCTGATGTGAGCAAATGCAAATACTATTTTTCCACGTGCATTTGTTTTTTCTGGTCGTGTAAGATTTGTTAAATGAAAGGGAACTCTTTAGCTACAATGTATCAATGTTATGTTATAAAACAAATGGTAAACACCACAGCGTTCACTATTGAGTTATGGATGCACTTGGGAGGTTTGCTAAGCACTCAAGAAGCTAGAGTCGCTCTCAGCTATCGCCTTGAGTGACTCTTACGCTTCTTTCGTGCTTAGCAACCTCCCGCGTGCATCCATAACTCAAAAGTGTATGCTGTGGTGTTTACCATTTGTTAAATTGTTTCAACTAAAAGAGTAGATGAACCCAAGAGCAATACATCACAGTCAAAAAATAATCGATAAAATAATGAGCTCCACTAGTTATATATTAGTTAGGAGAGAAATAAGAATAGATACTTGAATTTGAGTGCCCAGACTAAATCAAGTGAAGGTAAGATGTCAAAAATGAGGAGCTCATAGGTGATAAGAGATCTGTCTTAAACCAGAAACCTCCTAATTTTCATCTCAATGAGCAGAATTAGGGGCCTCCTCACACATTTTGAACCTACTGACTATCAATTTCTATTTCAACAAAAAAATCCCTGATCCTCATTTTAAAATCAAGAGCATAGACCCTGAAAATGTTCTTATAATTGCTTAGGGTATAACATTTAGAAAAATTTATTCCTTGGGCTGACATGTAAAGGCCCTAAGACCAGAAATATCACCCACCATAAAAATCTATTATTGAGAATACAAATGACTTGTGGAAAACCTTTTGAACTTTTCACATCTATCACATGATAAACCCTCCAACTGGGAGGACCTAGAATTATTTGGCTCTATGAATTCATAACCAAAGCACAAACCACATGATGCTGTACATTTTCACCTATTTGGATGAAATTACTTGTAAAAAATACACTAATTCACCAAGACAAAAGTAAATGATACAATTTAAATAATAGGGCTATGCAATAATTGTATTTTCCATCAACTACCTCTCCCTATTAAGACTCATTAAATTTACGATTTTGTGTCCGCTATTATTTGATCATGTTCAGGAAGTTGATTGCAGTACTCAGAGGAAGTGACGTCAAAGGCTCAATGCTAAAATCTCACATGGAAAAATGTCAAGCAAACATAACAGAGTGCTTTAATCTATTCTTACAAAAACTAAACAAAAATGACGAGGCATCGATGCGTAAATCAAAGCTGAAGTAATCATTCAGACCATGCTGCAGGTATTTCTCTGCATTGGACCCTTGCAAATAGTTCAAATAGGAAAAATGGATGCGATTTGTGCGAACTCGCCGAGTAAACTTCAATCTTGCAGGAATATTTGTGATCTACCCCGAACACTTCTTGGAGGACTGTTTCAAGAGATCTGTGTACTTTGAAGGATCTAGGCGAAGAATTCTGTTGGGTTCAGTGCCTACCGTTCAAAAGCAGGGACAAGAAAAACCGTCCTCAGTGCGATCTCGACAAAAGTGAAGAATACGAACCTTCACGGGTTTTGTCTCCTTTACATATGCGCTGATCAATATCCACCTTTAACAACTCTCTTGCAGAATACCTTACACAAGGGAAAGTACTCAGTGAACATTGTAAATAAGAATGATAAAATAGCCAAATTGAGGAATGAGATTTCTGACCTCAAAGAGCTCACTTTTATACAAAAGAGATGAAAAGTATAATTGTGTGCTCTGACTCTAAAAAAAGCTGGCTTTAATATCAGC